GTGAAGCTTTCGACCAAAGTTATTCTTGTAGAATTGCTTGCACTAGGCTGGTTTCCTTCCTTGTCCTTTGAGAGCTGACAGATTATTTTCATTTTGGTTTTGGTTTCATGCCTTTTATTTTTTATTATAAAAGTAATGTGTGTGTTCATCATTAAAAGTGGAGATAATGCAGAAGCATATTAAAATAAAAAGTAAAATTCCCTTGATCCTACTTCTCAGAAGTAACCATTATTAAAAACATTTAAAAACTAGTAAATGAGAAAAAAAAACTAGTAAATGGCCTTTCAGTTATTTTTATATATTTACAACTATAATACAGGTAACATTTTTGTGTCATAAAAATGGGATAATACCGTGCATACTGTTCAACAACTAGCTTTTTAATTTATTTTTCATGGACATCTTTCCATGCCAGTATAATATAGAGCAGCCTCATTCTTTTTAATGGCGGCATAGTGCTACATTGTGTGGTTATACAGTAGTTTACTTAATCGTTCCCCTGTGGGCATTTTTGGTTATTTATACATCTCTGTTGTTGTGAATAATGTATGAAATGTCTTTAAATGTACATCTTTTCACACCTGTAGAAATATTCCAAAGAGAGACCTGTAGAAGCAGAATTGCTGGGTCGAGTCTGTCAATGTTTAAATTTTTGATAGAAGCTGCCAGATAGCACTCCATGAAGGCTGGATGGAAACTATTGAGACTCTGAATAGATACTTACGTTTAGTTACCCCTTAAAGTGTTGTGTTTAGCACACACTTTGGCCTTTAACTCTTCCCTTCTGAGTTCCTAGGAGTCTGGCTGACTCTCTGTGTTTGTTGAAACCTAAAATCTGAGCAGAGGGAGGGAATAGAAGAGTGAGATGATCCATAAGTGGGATACTCTGCAGGGTGGATGTGGCTTCAGTGGAGTGGAGTCAGGGCTGGGCTTTCAGGACCCCGCCGGTCCAGCCTTCTATAACCCCCAAATGCCTGGACATGACCTGCCTTGAAAAGAGCCCGGTGGGAGATGGGCGGACAGTGGGGCATAGACTGAATGGCCACGCTGTCCAGGGCAGGGTGTGTCCTCTGGTTGAAGTTTATGTCCTAGTGGGGAAGGTAGACAGTAAACAAACAGATGTGTGGATGTTTTGGGCAGTGACAAGGGCTGTGAAGAAGAATGAAGCAGGTGAGGGGCAGAGTGGCAGGTGGCAGGAGGGCTGTTTTACCTGGAGTGTCAGGCATGGCCTCCCTGAAGATTGCCATCTGTGCAGAGACCTGAACGAGCAGATGAGTGAACCAAGCCTAAGGTCTCGGGGAAGCATGTTCCATGCAGAAGGAGCTCAAGCTAATGGGACCAGAATGGGAGGAGGTACCACAAGTCTGAGCACCAGCAAGGCTGGCAGTGTGGCTGGAGTGTGTGAGCAGGTGCAGAGGGGTGTGTGTGTGTGTGTGTGTGTGTGTGTGTGTGTGTGTGTGTGTGCGTGCGTGTGTTAGCTAGGGTTCTCCAGAGACACAGAACCACTAGGAGATACGTACATACATAGCATATTTTATATAGGAGAATAATATATATTTATGTATTAATACATTTATAATACAGAATATCCTATTATATTTATTATGAATAATATATATACTATTACATATATACTTTATATATTTTAATATATTTTAATATATAAATATATTTTTAAAATATATAGATTTTAATATATTTTTATATATTTGTAAATATATATAATATATAAATTAAAATATATTTATTATATATTTTAAATATGTCTATACTTTATATATACTCTTATAGTATATATATAATTATAGAATATAGTATAGAGTACATATATAGTATAGTATAGTGTATATTAATATATTATAGAATATAGAATACATATATATAAAAAGAGATTTATTGTGAGGAATTGGCTCACATGATTATGGAGGCTGAGAAGTCTCAAGACCTGCAGTCAGTGAGCCCATGGTGTAGGTTCCAGTCCAAGGGCAGGAGAAGACTGATGTCCCAGATCAACCAGTCAGGCAGCTGAAGTTCCTTCTTACCCAACCTTCTGTTCTACTCAGGCCTTCAACAGATTGTATGAGGCCCCCTCACACTGGGGAGGACAGTCTGCTTTACTCAGTCTGCCAGTTCAAATGTTACTCTCATCTAGAATAAGGTATGACCAAATGTCTGGGCAACCATAGCCCCATCAGGTTGACACATAAAATGAACTCCCACAGGTGTCTGATGTAGCCTAGGGACCAGCCTTTCTGGGCTGTGCTGTTCACTGGCCCACAGTCAGTCAGTGAGCCCTTGAAATATGACCAGTGCTGGACACTGAAGTGATGTTCAGCATGTTGGTTTAAATAAGACATATTATTACAGGTAATCTCACTGGACTTTGTACATTTTACATGTTGTTGGCAGAAAATTTGAAATTACATAAGTGGCTCACATTGTATTTCTTGGGTAGCGCTGGCCTCTAGGACCTTGTTAGTGTGGCGAGGAGTCTGCATTTCACTCTGAGTAGCTTGGGAGGTGAGTGGAGGGTTTTGAGATTGGGAATGACTTGCTCTAACTTGGGTTTGAAGTTAATTCACCTGCTGCCCTGGGGGCATATGCAATAGAGGGGCGGTGGTGGCAGCAGAGCCGGTGGGAGGCCTTGAAGGAGGAGGAAGGGGCGATGGTGACCTGGGCTCTGCAGGGGCAGTGGGGAGGGGGAAGAAGTGGTCAGACCTGGGAGATGTTCACCGAAGAGATCCAGCAAGCTTTGCTGATGGACTGAATGGGGGCTGGGAGCCAAACAAGGTGACTCCTTGTGTGTTCGGCCTGAGCACAGTGAGTGAAGGGTGGAGCTGTTTGCTTAGATGCGAAAGGCTTGGGGTATGTTCACTAAATGCGTGAAGCACCTTTTTTGAGAGTAGGAAGAAAAAAAGTAGTGGCTAGACATGCAAACGGGAACTCAGACCTTAGAAGAGGTAAATCAACAAGACTCAAACAGTTTGTCCAAAGGCGGTAAAACAGAGGAGGTGCTCACAGGTGTGTGGGAAGAACCGCAGGAGACAGGTGGACAAGGATAGAGAGGGGTGAGGCAGGTCCGATGGTGTCGGGAGAAGCAGCAGCCCAGTCAGGCCAGAAAAGGAGAGAGAGGGACAGAGACGCTGGCTCCAGATACCTGCCTCCCTCTCCAGAGCCTGGAAATGATCTCTCCCCAGTCACACACACACACACACACACACACACACACACACACACACACACACACACACACACACACACACACACACACACACACACACACACACACACGCACGCACGCACGCACGCACGCACACATACATGTAAATGATCCGAAATAGTGCTTTTAAAGCTGTAAGGGAAAAGTTGACATATTTGAACATTTAAATATTTTAAAACTACTGTACAAGGAAAGGTACTCTAAATAAGTTGTAAAAAGTGAAAGGCTGGAAAATATAATTTGTATAGCAGGCAAGGGATTAATATCCAGCATAAATGAAGAGTTCTTACACATCAGTAAGAAAAATGGGCAGAGGGTTTAATTAGGCAATTTTTAAATAAAGAAATGCACATGACCAATTTGAAAAGATTCTAAGTGTCTGGCAAAAATGGAAGTGATGAGACTTCAGTGTCGGTAGGGCGTGGGGCATGTAGCATGTAGGAAGAACTGGCCTCACACACTTGGTTGGGAGTGTAAATTTAGTAGCTTTTCGTGGAGGACAGCTGGGCTGTGTCTGGTAATATTGCAAATGAGCAGGATCTTAATCCAGCAAAAGTGTATCTGTGCATTCATCCTGTAAAGATACTGGTACATGCGTACAAAGAAACAAGTAGAAGTATGTTTATTATAGCACATTTAGCCATTTTAATAGCTAACACTTGCAAACAGTCTAAATGTTCGTCAACAGGAGGATGGGTAAATTATGGTACATCTTTGTCCATTAATATGGACAAAGGTTTTTTAAAGACCTATGAATACACTGATACGAAAAAGATCTTCAAAAGTGTGGGTAGGTTAAAAGAAATTGCAGTATGGGATGCATTTAGCTAATTAATAGCTGTATTTGTATTTGGGTAGATATACTTAGAAATACCTAGAAGAAGGTTTGGAAGCGTAAACGCCAAATTGCTAGCTGGTTACCTCTGGAAGAGGAGTAAGGGTGCAGGGCGTGGGGCAAAGTGGGAAGTTTGTGTTCCGCTTCTAAGGAACCATCACCATCACGAGGGTTTATTTCTGAAACGACATAATAAACTGTGCTGAGGCGGAGACGGGTCTAGGTACACCCAGGGCGGCGTTATTCTTCTGACCTTCCATCCAATCATTCGTGGACTTTCTGATGAAAGGGATGTGACGGGGAGGGTCTGTGCCCAGCACACAAGGGAGAAACGGTGCTGTGTCCTGAGTGCCTGGTCTTAGACATGGCCCGAGCTCAGGCTGTCCCATGCTGCTGCAGCCGGCTCTGCCAGCAGGTTCTACAAAGGCTCAGCTGCAGCAGAGAGAGAGCTCAGAGGCTGTCCAGGTCACCTCGGTGGGCCATCTGCATGGAAATTAATTAGAGGCAGACTGTGTCCCCCGCGGCTCGACTCTAATGATGCTGGAGTCGTTAGCAGTTAGATTCGGCTACAGCTTCCTTCTCCACGTAATGAAAATTTGTTTTGGCAGAAGGAGTCAGGCAGACTGAGGACAGCACAATTTTAATTCCCAGATAGTTTGTCAGGGTCTTTGGGGTGCGGTGACCTCCAGAGATAGGGGTGCTTTTCATCAAATCAGAGACAGCAGTAAACTTACTCCTCTGACCACTCAAAACGAAATTCCCTCTGCTATAAACAAGTGTGTCATTCCTGAAGCACAGGGGGTGGTGACCATAGCAACAAATCACCCAAATATTATTTTGTTCTCTGTGCCTTTTGTTAAGCCTCCCTTTGCACAAACAATTTGTGTTTGTTTCAATTGTAATGAACTCTCTTTGTTTCTTTTTCTCTTTTTAAACTGTATAAAGGAACAAAGAAAGAAGTACAAAAAGATCAAGACGCTAATAAACCTGCAGTTTCGTCTCCTAAGAGAATATCGGCTTCAACCACCAAGCTTCATTCGCCAGGTATTTAAGAAATGTGAACTGTGTTATCTGTGGAGACTTGAACTTGGAATTTATTTTGTTCAAATGTCATTAGTGGAGCAGTGCCAGCCCATGTGGTATGAGTGATGGTTCCAGGGCTTGACATACACGTATGGATGTGTTCTGACTCTAGCTGAAATGAACCAGCTGTTGGCATCATTTTGTCTTAAAACACAAAATGTTATGCTACGTTTAAGTGGTAGAATCTTCTCTGTGTAGGAGTATCTGCTATTCCAACAGAATGTAAAATAATTTATAATTGAAAAATAGACTTTGGAGATCTAACTTCAAGAGATAATATTTCCCAAAAAGAAGAAAAACAGAGAAATGGTAGATATCAAATACTTGTTACTTTGTTTATTTACATCCTGATATGAATAAGCTACGTAATGTCACATGAAAGTTGAAAATTGTTTATTAAGAAAACTCATACTGTAAGGTATCCACCCCTTTGTAGAATACAGTGCAATATAACCTCAGAACATTTTCTTTAAGCACAAAAATAGTAGCAGTAATAGCAGCTAATGTTTGAGTTCTTACTGTATACCATGTACAGTCCTAAGCTCTTTAGATATATTCATTTCTTTAAGGCCCACAATAACTGGGAGACAGGTACTATTATTGCCTCTCCCTTTACATGTGAGGAAATTGAGGTACAGAGACTTTTGTTAATTTGCCCAGAGTCACAGGAAATAAGTAGTAGAGTATTGGTTTGAATGCAGACACTCTGAATCCCAAAGCTGCACTCTTAGTTGCCACACTGTTAACCAGAAAGCTTGGAGAATAGTGAACTTTTTAATATTTCTGGTAAATTAAAAATGTATAGGAAGTAATCCAAAGCCACACACGAGAGGGTCAGGAGACAAAACCTGTTACCAATCGAAAGTTCGTGTGCATGATGCACAGTGAGGCCAAACAAACGGAAATTTCGGAGTTTGGAGTAGAGAAAGGTTTATTGCGGGGCCATGCAAGGAGATGGGTGGCTTGTGCCCACAAAACCCCGAACTGCTCAAAGGGTTTCAGCAAAGCATTTTTAAAGGCAAGGTAAGGGAGGGGTGTGGTTAGTTGTTGCAGACTTCTTGGTGTCGAAATCCTTTGTCCTTGCAGCCGTGCATGTAGGTCAGGTTAGGCTGTTTCTGTAAACCTTCAACAAGACAAATGCTTTTCTCTGTTCTGCAACATTTTTTCTTTATAAGAATGACCTTCTTAAAGGTCAGAGCCTTGAGAATAGGCTATCCTATATAGTTCAGGCTATAGGCAACATTCTTTTACAAAAGGTGCAGAGCCAGCATGACTAAGCACAGGCAACAAAGCAAAAGAAACAGATCTAATATGGAGTCAGATTTGTTCTTCCCTATTACAAGCCCAGTGCCTAAAGAGGGTGGGAGATGAGATCGGAGAACCCTTCATAAATCTCTCACTAGACAAACCCTCACTAGACAAATTAGGAAGGGAAAAAAGCTCACCCTACAGGAGGAGTCTGGCCTGTTGTGCTTTGGCTCTGAGAGAAGGTGGGAAGGGAACCAGTCCTCCCTTAGGAAATCCTCACCTCAATCAGCCCTGCCTCAATCAGGGGGCTGGAATGCCTGCTACCACTACAGTCTGAAAATTCAACTTAAAATGCTACAGTACTTGTGTCCACTTGGTGAATAAAATGTGAAACTGCTACACACACAAGGAAATAAGCCACTGTGAGTGAGGTCCTTATATTGTAAGTAAATGGACAAATTGTGGTATTTATACAGTGGAATTCTAGTCACCAATAAGAGAGTAAAGACGTTTTACATTGTGTAATTTCAGACTTGGTTAAGTTAAACTATACATGTTAACAGTTTTAGAATTACCAATAAAATAGAGTTCTGAACCAGTAAGGGGAAAAGTTGAAAAGAGGGGTTAAGAAAAATTTAAATCTATATAAATGAAGGCAAAAGAGGGAGAAAGGAAAAAGAGAACAGGGAGAGGAAAAGAGAGGAAAGAAGGAAGGGAGGAGGTGGGGATATGGAAGAAATTGAAAGAATAAAATAAGGTATTAGAAATGAAATTCAGGGACTTCCCTGGTGGCGCAGTGGTTAAGAATCTGCCTGCCAGTGCAGGGGACACGGGTTCCAGCCCTGGTCTGGGAAGATCCCACATGCCGCAGAGCATCTAAGCCTGTGCACCACATCTACTGAGCCCGTGTCCACAACTACTGAAGCCTGTGCACCTAGAGCCCGTGCTCCGCAGCAAGAGAAGCCACTGCAATGAGAAGCCCACACACCACAACGAAGAGTAGCCGAGCTGCCACTCGCCGCAACTAGAGAAAGCCTGCACGCAGCAACACAGCCAAAAGTAAATAAATAAATAAATTTTTTTTTAAAAAAGAAATGAATTTAAAGGTGTCATAATGAATGTACATGAACTAAACTCTTAGACTAAATCACAGATTTAGGTTACCAGACTGGATTCATTTATTGAACAGTCACACAGTATTTATTAAGTGCACATTGTATGATGTAAAATCTAGCTTTAGACTGTTTTACAAAGTACACACCTAAAATATAAGAATACTAGGGAATTCCCTGGTGGTCCAGTGGTTAGGGCTCCACACTTCCTTTGCAGGGATCTTAGTTCCTCAACGGGTTCAATCCCTGGTCGGGGAACTAAGATCCCTCATGGCACGTGGCAAAAAAAAAAAAAAAAAAATCCTAAAAGGTTGAAAATAAAAGGACTGAAATATTTATGCCAAGAAAATACGAAGCAAAAAAAAGTGTGTGGTATTTTTTATTGAAACATCTTTATTTGGTATAATTAATAAAGATTAAACTACACATATTGAAAGTGTACAGTTTGGTGAGTTTCGACATATGTATGCACATGTGAAACCATCACCACAGTCAAGACGGCAAACATGTCCACCATCCCCTGGAGTTTCCTGGTGCCCCTTTGTCATCCTCTCCACCTAGCCCTTTGCACCCACACCCCAATCCCCACTCTGTCCCTAAAGATTAGTTTGTATTTGCTAAAGGTTGATACAGATGGAAGCATATATACTCTACTTTTATCTGGCTTCTTTTACTCAGCATGGCTTTTTTGAGATCTATCCACGTGGCAATAGTCCATTCCTTTTTATTGGTGAATAGAATTCCACTGTGTAAATACCACAGTTTATCCATTTACCTGTTGAGAGACTTCGGGGTTTTTTCCCCAAGGATTTGGCTATTACAAATGAAGCTACTATGCACATTTGTACAAGTCTTGCTATGACCTTCTGCTTTTATTCCTCTCGGTAAATAGCTAGGAGTGGAATGCCTGAGTCATATGGTAGCTATGTGTTTAACTTTTTAAAACTGTTTAAAAGTTTTCCAAACGGTTTTCCAAAGTGTTTTTACCATTTTATATTCCCATCGGTGGTGTCTTAGAGATCCAGTTTCTCCACATCCTTGCCAACCCTTGGTATGGTCAGTTTTTTTAATAGTATACATTATAGTAGGTGCACAGTGGTATCTCGTGGTTTTAATTTGCATTTCCTTAATAACTAATGATGTTATAATGTTGAGCATCTTTTTGTTTATTTGACATCTGTGTATATCCTCTGATAAAATATATATTCCAATCTTTCACCATTTGGGTTTTTTTGGTCTTCTTTTTATTGAATTTTGAGAGTTTTTATATATTCTGGATACAGTTTTTTCAGCTATGTGATTTGCAATTTTTTCTCCACAATTTGTGGCTTGTTTTGCTTCTTTTAACAATGTCTTTTGAAGATTAGATGTTCTTAATTTTCATGAAGTCCAATTCATATTTTTTTTCTTTTATGGACCATATTGTGAGTGTTATCTAAAAAATCTTTGCATAACCCAAGGTCACAAAGATTCTCTCCTACATTTTATTCTAAAAAGATTTATAGTTGTAGGTTTTGTATTTAAGTCTATGATCCATTTAATTTAATTTTTGTATATAGTGTGAGGTATGGCTTGACTCTCTTTTTGCAGAAGGATATACAATTGATTTCTACTCTGACCATTATTATTCCTCTTCTGCTTACACTGGATTTAATTAGTTAATATCATTAATTTGAAGTCTTTCTGCTTTACTAATGTGCACTTAGTACAGTAAGTTTTCCTCTATAGGTTTATAATTTACAAATTTTGATATATTGGGTTTTCATCTTCATTGAGTTCACAATATTTTCAAGTTTCCCTTTTTGATTTCTTATGTCCCCTTGATTATTTAAAAATGTGTTTTTTTAGTTCGCAAATATTTGGGACTTTGCAGAGATCTTTCTGATTTTATTTCTAATTTAATTCCATTGTGGTTGGAGAACATACTTTGGATGACTTGAATCCTTTCAAATTTATTGAGACTTTGTCTTATCACCCACACCAAGGGCTGTCTTGGTGAATCTCGCATATGTGCTTAAAAAGAATGCCTTTTCTACCGTTTCTGTGTGGAATATTCTACAGTGTCATAGCTCACGTTTGTTGATAGCATTGTTCAAGTATTCTATAGCCCTACTGATTTTCTGTCTACTGTTCTATCAGTAATTGAGAGAAGGTTATTGAAATCTCAGAGTATAATTGGGGACTTGTCTTTCTCCTTTCAGCTCTATCATCATTTTGCTTTGTGTATTTTGAAGCTCTGTTATTAGGTACATAAATGTTTAGGATCGTTTATCATTTTGATGAATTTCCCACTGTCGTTATGAAATGACCCTCTATCCCTGGTAATATTCTTTTCCCTGAAGTCTACTTTATTCAATATTAATAGTGCCACTCAGCTTTCTATTTATTTCAGCATGGAATACCTCTTTCCATACTTTTCCTTCTCATCTATTTGTCTCTTTATATTTAAGTTGGTTTTTTATAGGCAGTTTGTCATTGGCTCTTCCATTTTTATCCAGTCTCAAATCTCTACCTTTGATGTACATTTAATGTTATTGGTTTGATTGGGAGTAAATCTACCATCTTGCTATTATTTTCTATTTATCCCACATGTTCTTTTTC